TGTTGGTGCAGCCGTCGATGCCTTGCAAAGCAAGGGTCTGCGTGACCCAAGGCAATCAATCAATCAATCAATCAATCAATCAAGATTTTCCTTGGAGGATGCATTTAAAAGGGATCAGGAGATCTCTGGGGTGTTAAAAACAAACTGGAAAGAATCAGACACCAATAAGCTGAGCCACCTGAGCCCGCTGAGCTGCTGCTGGAAAATGTTGTTGGCCTCCCTTTCTATCAACAGCCGGGAAAACGTGGGTGGGCAAGGATGCAGGAGCTGATCTTGGTGAGTCCCATTCACGCATATCATGTAAACAACCATGACGGGGGAAGCTCAGCGCAGCCAAAAGCATACTGTATGTGAGCTTTACTCTACCATGTCATGTGCGCTTGCTTGTGATGACACCTTGTATTCTAGCTTTGCTTCTGAACCTCGGTGGCAAGCTTATTGCGGCTTATACTATGCGGCGAAAGGATCATAACAACAAGAGATGCCTGCGGGCCAATCGGATTTGTACCAAGTGTCTGGCAGCAAAGCAGGTCTATTTTTATTGTCAAGCATGTCATGTAGGTGTCGAACAGCTTCAGTATATACCTTCTTTGATTCTTAGAGTCATGCAGCGCTTCGCTCGGGGTCATGCGAGGGGTTGGCAAGGCTCCCCTCCCCACCATGCAAGCCGAGTCATTTCTCGGGGAAGGGTGCTGTTCTCTAATTCCATCTTCAAGATTTCCTTTAAGTGGAAGAGGGCTGGTGTGAGCAGGCCTCAACCTGGCAATCCCAGCCTCGATTTACATGTTGTTGATGATTTCTTTTTTTTTTGAGGACCTTTCGAGCCAATTGGTCCTGCAGTACCGCTTGGTTCTGAGTCTGAAACGCGCCAAAAAGCGCGCAGAGGGCACTCTGGCAATGGTACCATTTTGAGGGTCCCAATTATAGGGGTTATAGTATTTTAGGGTCTATATCTTGGGGCCCCTTATTTGGGGATGTACTCATTCAGGTGCTGCCACAGCTGCTGGCCTGAATCGATTTCAGGTCCCAGATGTCTGATGAGAGACGTAGAAGTTGGACGTAGAAGGGAGAAGAGTTATGGGAAGGTCTCTATGTGGAACACGGTTTCGGCAAGTGCTTCTGTGGAGGCACGGCTCAGGCCATTTGAGGGGCATTTGGAACCCAAATCAACTGCTCTGCTATAGCACCTAAGCTTCTGTTTCAGGCTGAATGGCCCAGACCCGGAGCGCCTTCAGCCAAAGCCCCTGCTATGGCTTTGCTTCAAGTTCAGTTGTACAGGGAAAACATCAGCTGCTGTCTTCGTCCCAGGCTCCGGCTTCTGCGCTTGAACGTGGAATGCACTGCCATCCAACTTCGGGTGCTCATGGCACAAGGCCTTGGCGAAACCCGTAACTCGACCCGTTTCCTAAGCTGGGCATCCCAAAATTAGGGGTACCTAATATCATATATTGGGGTCATATTTGGATGATGAAAAAGAAAATGGAAACTACAGGAATTATAGGGGTTATAGAGGGATTATAGTATAGTATATTGGGGTTGTAGAGGGGATAATGGAAAAGAAATGGAAACTATGCGCTGGCCATGCGCTGTGCTTCGGTGAGGCCGCGGCCGCGCCGCCTCACCGCCTTCCGCCTGGTTCCACCCACGGCCTCCAAGCCGGTCCCGGGCCAAAAGTCATGGCAGCCAGCTACACCAGCTACAGCACCAACGCTACAGCACCGACAGCATACCGACTGACGACCGAATGAGGCCCCAGAACCTGGAGCTGTGCGGAGCCAAAAGAAAGAAGGGTGTATAAAAGAGCCATGGCACAACGGCACCATGGCACGAGGCAGCTTTGTGTAGAAGAGTCGGGCCTCTCCCTCCGCTGCACGTGGGCCGGGCCCTCGAACGGCAAAGCCAAAGAGAGCGACTTGCTCTTCGAATCGGAGAGGCTCTGTTTCTCTTTTCTTCCGACTTCAGGAGCAGCCGGCACCCAGGGCCCCGGACGAGGACCTGGGTCCCGTGACTTTCTGAGAAAGATCTTTTGTTTCTTGAGTTCAAAGTACCCAAGTTCTATCAAATACTCAGGTGGCCTATGCGGTCTTCCATGACTTCTCGCGAGGCAATGGCATCCAAGCAACACGCTTTCAGGCTGGGACCCATGCCTAATGCACTCCACTCCAAAGCCATTCATGATCACTTGGCCTCGAGAGGTGCGACTGCGGGAGCTGCGGGAAGGCGACGGGGTCGACGGAGCCTGGGAGGCTCCCTGAAGCCGATCTCGAGAGTAAAGGGCGGAGGGCCTATTTGGGGGTTTCCCAAAATTTGGGGTACCGTTTTGGGGGTCCACATAATTAATAAGGAGTATAATATATTGCGGTCTATATTGGGGTCCCCTTAAGTAGGGAAACTACCATTTGAGTGGCCCCTTTGAAGTTTTGTAGGCATCTCTAGAAGCGAAGTGTTCGAGATTTGAGTGTCTTGAGTGACTGCTTGCAATCCCCAAGCCGCCGTGGCAGACGGCCTGTCAAATCTTAGCAGACTTCGCACAAAAAAAGCAGCATAAGCAGTCAAGGGGTCCTTCCAAAGATTGGCAAGACCAGAGAGGCATAGGGCACGCCTGGGCGTCTGGGTCTATGGAAAGATGCACTTGAGTGTTTGCACAGTTTTCTGCCCTTGGCTGGGAATGACGCTCCAGCGTCAAGTTTGTACACGGCACATTGCAAGAGCCTTCGTCCAGAGTCCAGCCTAAGCACCTTGCTTCCTCAGAGCGCATGGCAAGCTGACACAAATCCAGAGGTGCTGCAGCCGCAGCTGATGCCTCGTGCTTCGCGCCTCTTGCGCCTGTTGCTGCACTTTGAGAGATGCTTGGCATTAGAAGCCTGGAGTGTTCTTTGGGCTGAGGCCTTCGAGCGAAGACAAGATGCAGGCAGATAGAAGGGACCAAAGCATCGATAGATGAGCTCGCATGACCGACAACCAGACGAATGCGATGACGTGCGTGTAGAGCGAGAGATTCACTGTGAGTTCAACGCCTCAGAAGCAGAGATTTTCAGTTCCTGTAGGGCTACGAGTGGGTCTTCTGCGATCAACATTGGCTTCGGCCAGCCGCTCGCCTGGAGGCTGGCAACTGCAGTTTGCAAGCTTTGCAAGCAACAAGGGTCGGAACAAGTCTTAAACGTACACGCGATAAGACTCGGCTAGCAGAGTCCAGGTGCAAGTTCGCCACAGCAACGCCATCCTCTGGTCAAGCCAGGAGCCTGAGGGCCTGACGCGTCCACAAATGAAGCCAAGTGCCCTGATACCTCAGCTCCTGCACAGTTAGCTACTCTGGGTGGAGTAGGGGAGCCGGGAAGATCTCGGAAGATGGCTTTTAAAGCACCTCAAAGCAATCCTGCCCTTTGCAAATTTGGCAAAGGCTGGTCCAGCAGCAGCAGTCTCTTGGTGCAAGTGGCGCCCCCTGAGAGAGGAGGTGAGCTGCGCCTGGAGGAGAAACCTCTCTGCGGTTTAGGGTTTAGGTTTAGGTTTTAGGGTCAATCAGTCAAGTTAACGGAAAAGAAAATGGTTTGTTCTATAGTAGGGTTGCATAGGGGATATACAGGGATTATATAGGGATAATGGAAAAGAAAATGGAAACTACTATAGTATAATAGAAATCAAGAACTAGTCAATGAAGGCTACCGCTGAAAGTCCCTCAGCTTGTTGTGGCCTGCAGGAGGTTTCCGAGTGTTCCGCTCGCCTGAGCTGGCCGCGCTGCGTGCCCGGCGAGCCCTTACTGGGCCTGGCGGGCCTGGACTGACCCAGGGAAATGATTTCAAAAGCAAAATGTACATGTCTTCTTACTTCTTACTTATTCTTACTTCTTACTGATCTTTCACATGACTGCACCTGCGCTGCAGGACTACTGGGTCCTGTGCGCAGAGGTGCAGGAACAGCAAAGCTTCGGGCACTTCTCGTGGCAGACGGTGGCCGTGCTTCAGGACTGCAATCACTTCCCGCCTTTTTTCCGCTGCATGCTGCAGTTTTCAATGCATATTTTTAGGGCGGCAACGACGAGGGCGACTTGTTGCCTGGCTGCGTTAAAATTTGAACGAGGTAGTAGAAACCACAGTGACTTACCGACTTGCCAGGTGCCATGTCGTCCACTTCCTACGACCAGAGAAGTGCTACCTCTTCGAAGTGGAATGCCGCCTCGCCCTTTGGACATCAGCGCATTTGAAAAATGTGGGTCTTGGGTTTTCGGGCTTTGGGAGGTTACGCTGGGCTGCCTGTGGCACTTGCCATGGCCGCGGCGCTGCGGCTGGAGGCAGTGAAGCTTCAGAGTCGCGTGCCTGGGCCTTGCTCCAGCTCCGAAGGTGCCCGCGGCCCAGCTTTAAGGCTTAAAATGGACAAATTCTGCGAATGTTGTGTGCTTTTCGTTTCAGCTGCAGGTTCCCGTTGCGATGGGGGATTGGCACGTTGGCAAAGGCGCAAGAAGGATGCAAGAACCACAGCTGCCATGGGTTCAGATGATTGTCTCCAGGCCTCACAGGCCTGTGCGAGCCAACTACGTTGGCAGCTGACTAGGTCCTTAGAGGCCTTGCAGTCAAGGGGCTTCAGAATACATGGGGCCTCTTTTGAAGAAACTACCTGCTCCGCCTGCAGTTCTGTCAGCAAAGCCTGACCGCTAATGAACACGGCTGCTTGCTGCACAAGACGTGCGGGCAAAGGCAGTGGTCCGCTCAGATTTGCAGGTCAAGATAAAGTGACGGTTTTCTGTCTGCTGCAGCTATGCAAGCTGTGCTTAAACTATGCATTTTTCCTTGCAAACACATCCCAATCTCATCCAATGCTCATGGCCGAGTGCCGCAGTGCCGCACTGATCTCCTTTCGGCTGTTAGTACAGGCTTCAGAGAGCAAGTTCTCAATTGATCCAATTGCGATCAGCGTTGCCATTGAGGTGACATTATTCAGCCATGTTCACGTAGCTATTTGCCTAGCTCCAGCCATGGGATACGCCCGTAGAGGCCTTGGCTGAAATGGCTTCTCAGGCTGGGCGAATGTAGCCCATGTGAGTTCAGAGAAAAGTCAACTTTGGCAGGAACATGACCTGGACGAGGACTAAAGTCTGCGACAAGACTATGCATCTGGACTGTGCAATCCTTGCATGACATGGCAGCGCAAGGAGATGTGGGAGGAGAATGCTAGCCTTAGGCAGGGATGTGACAGCTCAGCCGGATACCCTCAAAACGGGTTTGGTTCAATCGAGGAAGCAGCTTGCCGATGCTCAGCATAGGCGGCAGCCGCAAGAAACAGCACAAAGATGCGCGTCTCCGATACGCTGCAAAGGCTGCAAAATCTGAACGAGCAATACAAGGAAGAGACGTTTTTCTGGAGGACACATATGAAGGTATGTGATGCATGATGCCATCCAGTTTGAGCCGCAGTTGCATCAGGAGCAGAGCACTGGAACTGCAATTAGAGTTTGCAAAAGCCGCGGCGGCTTGGACCCCAGCGGAGATCACCAAGTCTCATAGCAAGTTGGTGCAAATATGTCTATTGCTGAAGCTGTGCTGTGGCAAAGGCCACAAACGAGGCCACGGAGGCGAATGGCCGAGGCTTGAAAGATCTATGACCATAGTTCCGAATGTAATTTGTGCTGTACCCTTCCGAGGTAGAAACGGTTCAAAAGAGCCAGAGGTCCAGGAGGACCACGAGTGAGCTTCAGCGGATTCTGGCTCGAGACCGCTCACTTGTTTCTGAGGATTCTAAGCGCAGAGCGCAGCACCAGGATGTGGAAAAGCAGCTGGAGGAGACTTGGAGAGGCTTCGTAGCTTCTCAAAGCAGCGTCGAGCTAAACACGTTTATAGAGTAAACCGTTTAAACATAAGCGCTTTTGAACACGTCTGGGAGATCCCTTGTTGAAACACGTTTTGTTTAAACAAGTCCGGCCAATGTTTAAACTCTTTCTGGAGACAGCTTCGTTGAAACATGTTAAAACATTTGGTTTTCGATGTTTAAACATTAGGGCGCCGTTTGTTGAACGTTGCTTCCATGTTCAAACTCATGGAGCCCATTTTAAGAAGCTTCTATTTTGGTCCCTGAAGAGGATCTTGTTGGAACGTGTTGCGTTGCATTTGATGTGCTTGAACAGTGACAAAGTCGATGATCCAATCAAACACCTTCTTGCCGTCTCCCACGCGGCTGCGACTGAAAAGCAGGAATAAGAAGCTTCCAGCAGCATACCGATCGAAAGGATTGTTGTGAGAGGTGTTTAGGTACTCTTCAAGGTATAGTACCGCCGCCACCGTCAACACTACGCTTTGCCTGCGCTTGCGTTTGTTGCTCATCTGTAACCCAATGAGCCCCTGCGCCCAGCTGCTGAATATGGAATCGCTTTGCACTGTCACTCCAAACCTGTTGCGAAGCTCTCGCGTCTCCGCTGGCATGCCCACAACATGGACTGCGAACCTGACAGACTCCGTGAATGCAGTGAAAGCCCCAGGCTTGGCCCCAGCTTGCTTTAATGACTCCAAGTACTCATCCAGATGAAAGGACCGGAAGGGAAGGAAAGCCTCCCCCGGAAGTCGTTTCTGAAGCCAGGCAACGTACTTGTACAATGAGCTACCACGTTTCGCGACTGTACCCACAGCTTTGCGCCCAAACAGTTCGCGTAGGCTAGCCAATGCTTTGTCTCCAGGCAACCCAGCAGTGCGCTTACCTATGTTCCGGCTCAGGTAAGCCGGGGAAAGTGGTGCACGGCGCTCCTAAGCGGCTCCAAAGTATAGAGCAGTGACTTTAGGGATGGAACCCAGCGGCTAAGCCTATGTCCGGTATCAAGGTGATCCTGGTGTGGCGCATACGAGACTGCTGATTGGGCAAGTTCCCGGCCATGAATGGGTCATCTGTAAAGCGGATCATGACGCGCACAGCGAGGAGCTCAGCATAAAAGGCTGACCTTGCGCATGTGTGGATGGCGCCGGAGTGCCACGCAAGATCCTGGACACGTGTATTCTTTTGCTCCAGTGGCGGCTCCAGCTCCGACAATACCACGTCGCAGCTGCTACGGCGGATGGCGCAAAGACGATTTCGCGCCTTGTCTGGAGGAGCCCAGGTGTTCTGCCAGTGTGTGGCTGGGATCAATCGAGATAGCTTTTTGCAGCGACCGGCGATGTGGGATCATCGAATCGTGCCGAATTACCCTGCGATCTGACTGTTCCTTGGAGGAGGTCGCGCGCAAAAGTTCTGAGACGCTGGCCGCATGGACTCTTCCCGGACCTAGGACGGCGAGATGGCGTTTGGCATAACTTGTGGAGGCCGTAGGCCTGGAAGGGCACCATGAGCGCTTCAGCTGGTCAAGGCTGGGGCCTCTTACTGGGCTTTGAGAATTTATGATGGCTTTGCAGCAAGACCAGGTGGATGGGTACAACAACCTTCTCGTCGAGGTGATCTTCTGCCAATTACAAACAATTGAGTTCTCCTATGCCGACGAAGGCATCCGGAGGCAGGGCCTGGAAAAGCAGCAAACCTTCGAGGTTGACTCCACAGCAATCCGAGCACGACGCCGTGTGGCAAAAAACCTCTGTAAGGCGAGGGAGGAGCGTGAGCTCCAGTACAAAAACGGGGGAGGCAAGGGTGCGTGAGATGGGGCGGGGAGACAGCCCGAGGCTCGTTGTCCTCAGCAAGCGGGCGCACGGCCCCTCGAGAAGTATTTCCTCTTCCTCTGCCGGTTGCTACACAGGTGGTGGGAGGAGGAGACCAACTCTACATCTTGACCGCGCTGAATTCACGCGAGAGAATTGCAATGTTCTGGATTCTTTCGTGGACAACTGGACAACATATCCGGTTTGGCTAAGTTGCAGAAAGGTTTTGACCAAGACGCAAGCGTAAACTTGGTTTTCACATTTTTCTGGCCGCTAGCCACGAAGCAGTCCTGTGTACTGGAATCTGGCCAACCCGATCTTCCGAAGGGATCTCAGCGTCGCCTAGGGCTCTCTCTTGGATGCCTTGTCGTCACTTCTGCATCATCGCTACAGCCAACCGCATCAAAGAAAAGGCTTGAAGCTAGTGCGTGCAAGCCCCAGTTACCCTAGTTCCGGAGTGTGAAAGCATATTTAAACGTTCCTTTTGACCCTTGATGGGAGGGAGGCCATGTCGGAGCCCAGAGAGGCATGTTGGGAGGCCTGGAAGGGAAATGTTCAAACACGTGTGTTTCAGCATGTTTGAACGTTCTTTGTGACCCCTGCTGGGATCAGGCCCTGGGAGGCCCTACAGATGCCTTTGGGGAGGCCTGTAAGGGAAATATTTAAACACATGTGTTTAAACATGT